CAGCTGCTGCAGCATGGACGCTGCTATGTAGTTGGCATCCTCAGTGATTTCCATTATTCACGTGCTTTGCCGTGTGGTCTTCTACAATCCTGGGCATGGCATGTGCTGCCTTGCAGCTTTGGCCCTAAAGGGGACACTGTTCATACCGTGGGATCCCACCCTGTGCCCTACTACCTAGTGGGTAACTCCCAATGGAGGGACTATAGAGAATGGGGTTGGTCCTCACATAGCATTCACCAGCCAGTTTAAAACACTTCTGAGTGGTAAAGGATCTTATGATTTGTAGTGCAGCATCTGTGTTCAGTGGCCATTTTATGCTAGGTGCTGTACATTCATGGAATAGAGAATTCCTCTCTGAAAGGCTCTGCAGTCTAAATAGAGAAGACAAAGGGGGAGGGTCATTCAGCCAGCAGGTCAGTGACAGAGCTGGGGACGAGACCAGGTCTCCTGCACTCTAAGCTGGGACCCTGCCCAACAAGCCTTTCATTTCTGGGAGGGAAACAGCTGATGAATATCCTCTGTCCTTTCCTGAAGTGCACAGCTCAGGGCTAGGGCTTATACTGCCTTATCTGCAAGGCATCACCAGGGGAGCGCGAGGACCTGACAGCTGAACTCAGCAAGACCCTGTGTCCGTTTGCCTCCCCAGGAGGAGAGTGTTAAAGATTTCCGCTGGCATACAGCACCTGGGGAGCCTGCGCTGGGAGCTGGCTCTTTGCCTCCTGCTCGCCTGGATCATCTGCTACTTCTGCATTTGGAAAGGCGTCAAGTCCACAGGGAAGGTGAGTGCCTGGCTCAGGTCTGGCCTCTGTCTTCACGGCAATCTGACGTGCTAGAGCTCCTGAGCTGAAACCCAGCTCTCCCATACCCCAGGAGAACTGGCAGCACCATCTCAAGCTGGGCAAGCCCCACATGGTTTTGCCCCCAAAGAGGGTTATCAACTGGACCCTGCAAGTGGATTCACAGGGGATGGGAACAGGTGGGTTTCTATAAATTTGAACCTCCAAGAAAAACACTGCTCTCTGGACCCCTCTTCCCAAGAGGACTCCCTTTACCATCCCAAGCTACCTCATCACCCTAGAAAATCATGGGACCCCTTATCAAAAATGTCTGCAAGGGTGGCCCAGTGCTCTTCACACATTCCCACTCCTTCAGGCCAGGTCCTCAAGGAGCCTACACTGTCTCTGTTCTTCATCAGGGTCTTCAGGAGAAGCCACAAGGCATGGGGTAGAGGTTGTCCCATAACCTTACAGGGGCTTTCTTATGTGGGGGCATGTATATGTACGAGATGTGCCAGGCACCACTTAGACAGGCAGACCGATTAGGGAAAACCATCCCTCTCCAGCTAGCAGCTGGGGTTCAGAGTAGCCTCCAAATCCTTCACATGGTAGCTCAGAAACCCCTGCAGGGCCAAAGGGTTCTCTCTGCCTCAGGGCCAAAGAAATTTTCCATCTCCTGCCCTTGATCTTCCCCCAGAAAACTCTACCCTTGCATGAGTTATGGAACTGGGGAGACTGCCAGTGAATTTATTCCTGGGGTAACACAGCTCCAGCGTATTCCTTTCAATTAAGATGTCACCTACTTGCTCACCTACTTCCTGACAGAATTATTTGAGAGTTATTTGCTAACCTGGACATAAGAAAGCCCAAGGTGTTTGAGTGTTTGTATGACATTTTGATTTAACGAACCTCTAGTATGATACTACATTTAAAAAAACTCCAATCTTCTGAAGAAGCAGGCTGTGCCCACGAAAGCTCATGATACCATCTACATGTTTTGTTAGTCTATAAAGTGCTACCAGACCATTTGTTGTTGTTTTTAAAGTTTATCCTATACAGACTAATTCGGCTCCCCCCTGAAGCTTCATAAAATTAACGTGCAGTGTAATTGTAGTCATGTCGATCCCAAGATATTAGAAAGACAAGGTGAGCGAGGTAATATCTTTTATTGGAGCGTCTTTTGTGGGTGAGTCAGGTTTTCAAGTCATACAGAGTCCTCCTCTGCACAGCTTTAAAACTTGCCTCTCTCAACAACAGTGGTTGGTCCAATAAAATATATTACCTCGCCCACCTTGTTTTATAAAATTAACATAGCACACATTCAGTGGATTGAAAGGTGGCTATCTGATGAGTCTCAAAATGCAAACGTTAAATGGGGAATCACAGTTGAGTGGGTGTGTGTCTAGTGAAGTCCTGCAGGAATCCATCCCGATTCATATGCTATTTAACAGATATATCAATGAACTGGAAGGAAATTTAAAATCGTGACGGATAATGTTTGCAGATGATAACACAGCTTGGGGGCAGGGGAAATGAAGAGGATGGGTCACTAATGCAAAGTGATCTGGATCACGTGGTAAACTAGGCAAACAGTGTGATTTGAATATATCTACATGTAGATGTATACAATGGAACACAGACTGTAGGCCAGATTTTCAGGATGGAAATGCGATCCTGGGACTCTGGGAGAGAATTTGGGGTTGTGGTGGATAAGCATCTGAACGTGAGCTACCATTGCAATGCTGTGGCCAAAAAGGCTAATGTGATCCTGCCGTGCATAAACAAAGGAAGCTTGATTTCAAAAAGGTTCTTTTGCCTCTGTATTTGACACGGGAGCGACCATTGCTATAATACTGTGTCCTGTTTTGGTGACCACAATTCAGTAAAGAGGCTATTAAATTGGAGAGGATACAGAGAAGAGCCACAAGAATAATTCGGGTGTTAGAAAACATACCTTAGTGTGATGGACTCCAAGAACTCAATCTATTTAGCTTACCAAAGAGAAGGTTAAGGGTTACCTGAATTAGTTTCTCTAGATACATACCTACATGGGGAACAGATAATTGATAATGGGCCCCTCAATTTAGCAGAGAAGAGTATAACATGATGCAATGGCTGGAAATTGAAGCTAGATTAAAGTCAGCCTGGAATTTAAGGGATCAATATTTACAGTATAATGAGGGTAATCAGTCATTGGAAAAATTTATCAAGGATCAGGATGGAGTCTCTCACCTGGTGGTTGACTGTAAGTGCTGCAAGCCAGAGGGCAGGGAGCAAGAAATTTGGGTGCTCCCCTCCCCACCCTCGTCAGGGCCTCGGGGCGGGAGAAGCTTGCGAAATCTCCGCCTGTCCTGCCCCCGCCTTGCAAGGGGTGTGCAGCGCTAATAAGTGGCGCATCCTCCTTGCAGGGTGGGAGGGGACTTTGCGTGCTCCTCCTGCCCCCAAGCGCTGATTGACCTGGGGGCGGGGGCTGTGTGCAAAGTCTCCTCCTTCCCTGTAAGGGGTGCGGTGCTTAGAGTCAACCACCAGCTGCTGCTCAGTTGGTGGGTGACTCGAAGTGCTGCGCTCCCTTGCAGAATGGGGGCAGGGAGCAAGAGACTTTGCATGCTCCTCCTCCTCCAGGCCTTGGCTCCTCCTGCCCCCAAGCGCTGATTGACCTGGGGGCGGGGGCTGTGTGCAAAGTCTCCTCCTTCCCTGTAAGGGGTGCGGTGCTTAGAGTCAACCACCAGCTGCTGCTCAGTTGGTGGGTGACTCGAAGTGCTGCGCTCCCTTGCAGAATGGGGGCAGGGAGCAAGAGACTTTGCATGCTCCTCCTCCTCCAGGCCTTGACTGACCTGAGGATGGGGGGGGGGGGGGGCCACCCAAAATCTGTTGCCAGGGGTGCAGGCACCTACAAGGAACCGCCAGCTGTTCAGAACAGCTGGTGGTTCTTTCGGGAGGGGGGGGAAGGAGCGGATGCAAAGACTTCACAGGCTCCCCCACCCCCAGACCAATCAGGGTCTGGTGGGTGGGGACGCATGGAAGTGTCCTGGCCCCACTCCTTCTGGGGTGGCCTGGGGCCACCTCAAAAATTTCTGAGGTGGCCTTCTCTCAAATTATTACCCACCCTTGGGCTAGGCAGACACCTGTCAGGGATGATCTAGACAGTGCTTGGTCCTGCCATGAGGGCAGGGGGCTGGACTCGATGACCTCTCAAGGTTTCTTCCAGTTCTAGTGTTCTGTGATTCTAAGACACACGAGTACACATCTTCTCGGAGAAGATTGTCACAGATGGAATCACTTTGTAGAGGCACATGGCTCTGGCTCAACACAGCCATGTATGTGATTGACCAGCGTATGACAGAAGAAGGTTTCTGATCCCAGCAAGGTTTCCAGCAACATGGTTAGTGTTAACAATGCTCAAGAAATAAAAGGACTGTGCCTGAGCCAAGCATCGATTAATACCTTATTCGACCCAGATGTTCACGTTGCTGGATACAAGCTTGGCATTCTTAAATAGTAGAAAATGTTCTCCAAATTGCGACTTCCAGTTACACAGCAGACACTCGCAAGCATTAAATGAAAAGCTTAAAAGACAAAGCCCATAGAATCATAGAATAATAGGACTGGAAGGGACCTCGAGAGGTCATCGGGTCCAGCCCCCCGCCCTCAAGGCAGGACCAAGCTCCGTCTACACCATCCCTGACAGATGTCTATCTAACCTGTTCTTAAGTATCTCCAGAGAGGGAGATTCCACCACCTCCCTTGGCAATTTATTCCAATATTTGACCACCCTGACAGTTAGGAATTTATTCCTAATGTCCAATCTAAACCTCCCTTGCTGCACTATAAGCCCATTACTCCTTGTCCTGTCCTCAGAAACCAAGAGGAACAAATTTTCTCCTTCCTCCTTGTGACACCCTTTTAGATATTTGAAAACTGCTATCATGTCCCCCCTTAATCTTCTTTTTTCCAAACTAAACAAGCCCAGTTCATGAAGCCTGGCTTCATAGGTCATGTTCTCTAGACCTTTAATCATTCTTGTCGCTCTTCTCTGTACCCTTTCCAATTTCTCCACATCTTTCTTGAAATGTGGCGCCCAGAACTGGACACAGTACTCCAGCTGAGACCTAACTAGTGCAGAGTAGAGCGGCAGAATGACTTCACAAGTTTTGCTTACAACACACCTGTTGATACAACCTAGAATCATATTTACTTTTTTTGCAACAGCATCACACTGTTGCCTCATATTCAACTTGTGGTCCACTATGACCCCTAGATCCCTTTCCGCCATGCTCCTTCCTAGGCAGTCGCTTCCCATCTTGTATGTATGGAACTGATTGTTCCTTCCTAAGTGGAGCACTTTGCATTTCTCTTTACATGCAAACTGCAAAGCAGATACACAATGAAGCCTGACTCATCTGTCGTGGGCACTTGGGCAACACCAGTTTATGGGCCTAGAATAATATTTGGACCTTGAACTTATAAAACTGGTGCAATCCCTAGATGCAAATGGGAATATGAAGGCTGATACTCCCACAGAAAACTTTTCCTTTTATTCCACCCCACTTCTCACCACACACTGCATGCTCTGATCACCTGAATCAGGTGGTAGGTCACATGGTAAATATAGGGGTAATCATTAGGCCTGCCGACAGTGTGGGGGGAAAAGAGGGCTGTTACCTTGGGGGCCAATTATTCATAGGGTCTCGCTGCTCCTGGGCACCAATGCTGCTACTGTGGCAGCAGCGACAGCTGGAGCCTTGGGCCCTTTAAATTGTCACTGGAGCCCCATGCCGTATGCTCTGTGTGGAGGTCACATGGTAAATATAGGGGTAATCATTAGGCCTGCCGACAGTGTGGGGGGAAAAGAGGGCTGTTACCTTGGGGGCCAATTATTCATAGGGTCTCGCTGCTCCTGGGCACCAATGCTGCTACTGTGGCAGCAGCGACAGCTGGAGCCTTGGGCCCTTTAAATTGTCACTGGAGCCCCATGCCGTATGCTCTGTGTGGGGGGGGGGGGGAAGGGCACGGAGGACTAGCTACTCTGGCCCCACCCCTTCTGCCAGAAGCCCCACCACTTCTGGAAGCACAGAGCCAGCCCCCCCACACCTTACCCAGGGGCCCACGGAGGCTGTCGGCTCCCCTGATAATCATTAAAATGACGACCTGCAGACCGGGCCAGCTTGATAGCTGTTTAGCACAAGCTGAGCATGAGATTAAAATAGTGTCAGGGTCATGAGAGATTAGAAGGATTCATTGGAGTTGTAGCCATCATCAATGACATCATAGTATTTCCTTGTTAGAGATGACCAAGTGTCTTTTTATAGTGGGAGTGCTGATGATGTATTTGGTGTTTGTTACTGCTTCAAGCCGGGAGCTCACCAGCAGCTCCAGCACCACTGGAGGTGACAGAGAAAAAGATGTGCACCTTACTTAGGAAAATGCATGATTTGCATTCCACCAGGAGTTGTTTTGGCCTTTGTTTTAGAGCAGATCCAGCTAATGTCACTGTGGTAGAGGACATGAGAACTTCCACCTTTTTCCCCTGGCAGAAAAAGGGACAATTCCTGTATAAGAAATATGGCAGAATATGCAGACCATAGATGTGTTGTGAGTTATTTGGAGCAGGGACCTGCTTTTTATTAAATGTGTGTACAATATCTAAGAATGATGGAGACCCAGTGTGGGATGCAGCCTCTACATCACTGCAATACAGATGATTAATGTTCCTAATGAAAGAAAAGGAATGCTGTGGTTTTCTTCCCCCGATCCTAGCAAAACTCTATAAAGTAGACCAGTTTAAGAAGGGAATTGGTCTAGTGAAAGGCTTGTCACTATCAAAGACTTCCATGCCCCAGAAGAACAGTATGCACAAATGGGAAAATATATGTATATATGATGGACGTATATAATTGTATTTGTGTAAAATCTACTTCATCAGCATATATTATGATTGAATCTTACTACTGACTGCTTGGATCAGTCTAGAAGAAACCACTCATTGGGTCAGCATCCTAGTTACAGACCGTGTCTTCATTTGTAGAGGGACAATGGCCAAATCGTGTATTCCCCAAGAAAATACACCCCGATTGCTGACACTAGCACTAAAACCTAGGCCAAGACTAATAATGGCATGTGTATGCAGGTGCACTGAATATTCCAACAAACAGAAGGAGGATAGAGGCAGCTGAGATAGAAGGATGAACTAATGAAACAAGTAATACTGGCTGCTGGATGGCATGACAGTAGAAAGAAAATGATTTCACATCATCATGCAATACAGGCACCATAGAAAAGAACTTTCACTCTTGCATGGAATATCCTTTAAGATTGAAACAAGTTATCCTATTGCATTCAGACTAAATATGCTGAGCTGAAACCTCACTAGGCATGTTGCCAAAGAAAAATCCAGAGACTTTGACATATTCTTTTGTCCTAGTATGTGTCAACCAACTTGTCTCAAGATGTCTGATATTCCTTAAAAATATATAGTAAATGCAGGAGTGAATGAAATGCCAACAAAACCATGTCAGCCCATGGGCACTGATTCGTTGATGTGGAACAATGTAGACTACAGTACAGTATCTCATTGTTGTGGATTACTATAGCAATTAGTCTGAACAATCCCCAAAGTACCAGAATAATCCAGATTATAGTTGCAAGACATAGAATACCTGAAAGGATTAGAGTGACATTGGACTCCAGCATTCCTCAAAGGAATGCAACTACTTTGCCAAAGTAAGGGCTTTCAAACATATCTATGTCTATCTTATTCATAAAGCAGCAAGGCCAAGTAGTACGCCTTATGATATATAAAACAAAGTATAATGGCAAAGACCTCTGTTTTGTTCTTCCTGAGTATTAGAACACCCTCGTCAGCAGCTCTATGTCACTTGGTCCGGATGTGGCTGGGATGGTTGTGTTCAGCATTGCTCTTTATGTGGGAACAGCTGAAAGATAAAGTTGTGTGTGTCAGCCAAATGCCAGCTGCTAGTCTCAGGGCTGAATGTTGGTGCAGCAATACAAGGGAGACAGGATGGTGGCCACTGGAAGCCCCTTACTCTTAAACAGGCAAATATTGAAAGACCATCTCATGTTCACACCCTGAATGCATGCAAACATTAATTCAACAGTTGTTTGCTTCAGATGCCACAAAACCATCAAGTGTTCTGAACTTGCTAACTGTATCCTTGACCTAGCATTGATAGATCAGAATCCCGTGCTGACCCTGGGCTCTGTGCCATGCTTTGAAATGTTGCGTGAAACCCGGAGTCAGCTGGGGACTGATCACAGGCTTTGTGCAGCATTTCTTCAGAACCTGGGGTCAGCTGACCCCAGGCTCCTTGTGGTATTCCCCAGAACCCGGGATGAGCGGGGGACTCCCCAGCTGAACTCAGGCTCTGCTCACTTTGAAATGCTATGCTGGAGCCCAAGATCAGCTGGGGACTCCCAGCTGACTCTGGGTTCCATGGAAATGCCACAGGGAGCCCAGGCTCTGCTAGGGAGTCCCTAGCTGACCCTGGGCTCCATGTGGTGCTGCCCCTTTGAAATGCTGCCGTTGCTTTTCAAAGGGGCAGCACCGTATGGAGCCCGGAATCAGCTCTATGTGGCGCTACCACTTTGAAATGCTGAGGTGCCCGGTAATGGGCTCCATATGGTGTTGCTACTTTGAAGTACCCTGTCTTCCCCTCCCCCCCCCTTTGCTGCCTCTAACTGATAGAGGCAGTAAGGGGAGTGGGGGGAATCAAGTAGTTGACTCGACTGTTCGATAAGCATTTGCTTATCAGAAGGTCAACTAATCCTTAACATCCTTAGTCAGTATTACTTCAAAACAGAGTTGAAATGGCCCATTCTTTGTTGCTAGGTTGCATTTGCCTCGTACAATAAAACTTATTATTACTGACGATTCCTTGATAGCTCAAGGACTGCCTTGTCATAAAGGGAGATGTACCAGGACAAGTTGCTGTTATTTGCACATGTAACCCACACACCTACTGGGTGTGGCTCACTGTGCCATGTAGTGGCACTTAGGGGAGGGAGGGAGGAAGAAGGATGGTGGGGGGAGAGAGAGTTAGATTAGGTTAGATTAATTAGATATCTCGATCAATGGAGTCATACCCTGACAGGCTAGCTGAAGACCAGGCTGGTGCTTAGATTCCTACCAGAGTAGAGAGTGATTCCCTAATTACAGCTATAATGGCCACATCGTGACCTTACTAATGACTCAATAAAAAGTGAATTGCTTTCTATTCTGCTTTAAGGAAGATTTGAAACATAATAACCCTGACACTTCCCTGCCCCTATTTTGCTGATCCTGTCTCATCCTTGCCTTTCTAACTTGCTCTTGCACTTTGCTTCCATTGTGGCAAGGTTTCATTGATGTCCTTGGTTTCTGGCCTTTTCCCCAGGCTGCCCTTTCACACTTGCTCTGTTTTCTTCTCCTGCCAGGTGGTGTATTTCACTGCCACATTCCCATATCTCATGCTGGTCGTTCTGCTGATCAGGGGAATCTCTCTGCCGGGGGCTTTCCAGGGGGTCCAGTTCTACCTTTACCCAGACCTCACTCGTCTCATGGACCCTCAGGTAAGATGGGAAGGAGGACTGTGTGGCTGAGCTGTGGTTGCATGTGTTTGTATTTCTCTTCCTCTTCCTCTTCCATCCAATTCCTTTCTCGCTCCCATTCTTCTCCCTTATTCTTTCTCCACTCCATCACTTACTCTTTGCCTTTTCCTGTTTCTCTTTCATTCACTCTTCTTTTGCATCCTTCACCTCTTGCCTTTCCCCCTGCGAGCATAATGCACATTGGCATTCATGAGCATTCAGGTGATTCCATCAGGGTCCCCAGCTGAACTGGTTTTACTCTGTTTTCACCAGCAGAGCCCCTAAAATCCCAAAGCCCTTTCTCTCCAGGCTGGTGTAGGCTGCAGACACTACTGATGAGGGGCCACTAAAGTTCTTAGCTACTTGGTGAAACCAGTCGATCACCTCCGTCTTCTGGAGACACTCCCTTTAAAACTCTACTCCTCTCCTGGGCCAGATTGGGAGACTAGGGAGGCCCCAGGACCAGAGACATTTAGGAACCTTTATTTTTTTGATGGATTGCTGTTGTGTTTAACATCATTGGAGGCAACGCAGAGGCCATCAGCCCTTCCCACCCCCTCCTAGAGTATGGTACTTCTGAATGCTGCTGTAGTGTCAATCCACTGAACGTCCTGCTCCCCATCTCCCTTGTTTTCCTTTCTCCCCTTCCCCTTGATTAGCAATTCCTGCCAGTTTGACTGAAGGTTCAGTGCCCGACTGCCGTTTTTAATCTCTTCAGGACAAGTTCCTCCACGTTAAATCCTGGCTCCAGCTGAGCTGCTGTACCAGCCTTTGTGCGAAGGTGTCTCCAAAGGAGATTAAAGGGGGCCTGCCTGGAAAATAGGTCAGCGAAACCCTTCGTAACCCCTTTAACTCTTTCTGGTCCAGCCCAAGCATCTGTTATTTGGAGTTCAGCTGCATGAATGCGCAGATTGCAGGGGGGGGATGACCTAGAGAGCCCATGTTGTAGCAAGCCTCTGATGCCTGGCTCTGTGCATGGCGAATGGATTAGTTTGGCTCTGAGGCAGCATTCTCTAGTGGTTCCAGTCCGGGAGTGGAGTCAGGACCTCTGGGGTTCTGGGCTTGGTTCTGCTACTGACTCTCTCTGACCTTTAGCAGGGCAATGAAGCCGACCTTTTCACATTGGGTGGCTAAAATGAAGTGCCTAAATGTGGAATCATGCAGCTCAATAAAACCCGGCGAATGGATTAGTTTGGCTCTGAGGCAGCATTCTCTAGTGGTTCCAGTCCGGGAGTGGAGTCAGGACCTCTGGGGTTCTGGGCTTGGTTCTGCTACTGACTCTCTCTGACCTTTAGCAGGGCAATGAAGCCGACCTTTTCACATTGGGTGGCTAAAATGAAGTGCCTAAATGTGGAATCATGCAGCTCAATAAAACCCGGCCTCGTGTTCCAAGTCTCTGAGCACCTGCCTAGATCCTGCTG